CCCCAAAACCCCAAAACCCCAAAACCCCAAAACCCCTAGGTTAATAACGAAGATGGAAGCAAATAAATATGAAGTTCTCAATTGCTTAAACTTTGGTAAATAATCGAAGGTACATTCTAAAAGAACTTTACAATGCAAGAACTAAGTTATGCTTCCTGCTCATCGATATTTATGCGTCTGTGGGCAAGATAGTGATCAATCATGGTCACCATTTCTTCAGAGGTGTAGCTGAAATTCAAATGAGCTCTCTTTCCTTGCATAGCTATTGCGTACAAGTCGTAGGTCTTTGCTGCTTCGAGTTCATTCACAAAAGTGCCAATGTACTTCTTCTCATGGTCTACGTTTATTAAGGCTTGCCAGTTAACGTTATTATTTAGTCACTCCGATATATTTAGACCTCCTCCCAAGGTACTTATTTTTAGTATACCTCGTCTTTTTTGTCGAACTTTTGAAGGGTCCAATATTGTTCTTAATAATGATTCTTCTAATAATAGGTAGTCTATCTGTGATATCAAGCCTCCATGTTCTATTCCTTCGCTGTATAACCACTCTGTCTTTCTCAAGAGCTTCCTTATGTTCTTCGACTGGCTTCTGGCTCTTCTCTGGGAAAGTCTGAGCCTCGCTCGTTTCTATTTCTTGTGCGTCCACTTCCAGCTCTGGACAGATCCGAGAGCTTCTGTTTGAGGTTTTTCAGCTATAATTAGATTATTTAAGATGCTTGATCATTAAGTGCAAGGTCTAGTGCAACTTTGTTATTTTCTCTTAAATTTTTACCCTAGGTTGTAAGAATTCTTCAAGCCTCTTGAGGAGGGAGAAGAATCTTGATCCTCACTTGATCAAACTCGTTTGGCTCTTGAAGTTGAGCTGCATGCCTCGGATCAGTCTCAAGTAGTCCTCTCAATTTTCCTAAAAGCTATATCAGATTTTTTATCCATAAAAGAATCTTTTTGAAAGGTATTCCGATGTTTGCTAAAGTTCATTTTTATTAATTATTATTAAACTGAGTTTACTCATTCTTATGTATAAATCATCCGAGTTTTTATCTTGAATCACCAATATGCCGCGTTGAACCAGTAAGAGCTTAGGAGTAGAGTAAAATTCAAGTATTAATTTTGATATCAATCTTAGGGTCTCAAATCGGCTCTAAATTCTCATTTTATCCCTTACCATAGTACCCCTAAGAGTTTTATAATTTATAAAGCCGATGGTGTTTTGTTCTGGAGAATTTGTTGTTAGAGATTTGGATGTATAGAGGTTATTAAGCAGAGTTATGAGAGTCCTACAATCACCTAATTTCATTGGGTTTGCAAACTGGGAGGCTCCTTAGTCATTAGTTATAAGAATTGCTAGGGCTCAGTGCATTACTGCTAATTAAAATGGTGAAGACAAATGAAGGTTCAGCTCCTCTGAGAGAAATTCTTTCAAATATGAGCACTTTTAGCTACTCTATAGCAATTTTTGCTGCTTAATAACTTATGACTTGTGTTTATTATACTGATTCTCAGCCGAATGTTCAATATATCATTAAAAGCTCTAATATTTTTAGCAAAAAGAGAGCTCAGAGGGATCAATACAGCCAGCAACTCTCGCAACAACAAGGTAATATTACTACCCCACAAACACTCATTGATCGGACAAAGTATCAGCCAACAAGAGCATATTTTTCAATTTTTGGTTAACTCTTAGTTTAAAACTCCACCATTAAGACTGAATTACTAGCACGATTTACCTGATCCTCTAGTAGCTCTAATCCTTTATTAGAGATTTTAGAGGCGATACCGAGTCACTCTATTTTTTTATTGTACTTTGTAATACTAATTGTCTTGGCTAATAGTAGTTTCCAATAACTTTAAAATAAAGTTTGTAAACCGCTATTTATACTAAAACTCTCATTCTTAGCTGAATGCTGATATGGTTTCTGAAATTCTATTGCTAATGCTCTCACTCAGTACTTCTTCTGAAAAATAGCAGGATCAGGGGCGGCTAGTATAAATTTCAATACTAAAGTGCAAGTTTGGGGTTTTGGGGTTTTGGGGTTTTGGGGTTTGGGGGTTTTGGGG